TGGCAAAGCTCTTTTACATGTTATTAGCAGGCTGTCAGCCATACCGGAGGAGAAAAAGATCAAAACCACCTCACACAATTCATAAGCACTGGCTAAAAAAACAAATACAAAATCTTTACATTTTGGAGGGAGCTACAACATTGTATCATTTTAATTATTTTCTACTGACAACAACAAGAAAAAAAGGAGCACATAATATATTCTAATAATTCTTTTCACCAGATAGTGAGAAGTTAATACATGGAAATGTATTAGTGATTTGCTCATCACGGCAGATTTCGCAATATCCATAACAGACTACTTAAAGCAGCTTTCAAAAGGATGTATAATCTTCATTTGAGCTTTCCTGCTGCTTAAAATCTCTGTGCAAACTGAGAACACACTGTAATTGAACACCAGTGCTGGTTCTTCAATACGTATAATTCTCCTGCTATTTACCAATAATCTGACACAACTCCTGGCATGCTCTGGATTTGTAGGATACCTTGACAAGAAAAATAAGCTTCAGTAACAGATGTTACATATTCCAAACAGAATAATTTAATTTAATCATCTGTAATGTGCACAGCTGCAGAATAACAAAGTTTTAAAAGGATGGATGTACAAAACAAGGCAAAGGGATTAAGGATTATCATAGGGAAAAACAGAGAAATGAAAGAGTGAGGAAATAAAATGAGGAAAAAAATAAGAGGGAGAGAATGGATGAAGAACTAAGTAGGCACAGAAGGAACACAAATTGTTCCTAATTTGGAAAAGCGGACAGCCAGCTAGCAAAGCCAGTTGACACATGCTCTGGGGAACAGTATACACGTATACTGGCCCAGTACTCTCTGCTCCCTGCTTCCTAAATTCTGCAACTCTTATTCAGTTCTTGTGACAGCCCTACATCTGAGTAAAACTGAATTCAGTGGGATTACTCTATAAATTATTGCCTACAGAAGCAAAACTGCATGCCAGAGAACTGACCTAAAACACATGCCACCAGCTGAGCAATCTTTTACAGCAGCATTCAAAAAAAAGTACTGTCCTGTATCTTTTCATGTTGAACAAAAGTATCAGATTCAGACCCAAGAGCCAGCTCTTTACCAGTTATTACTTGTATAATGTATCAATTAATAAAAATCCCATGGTCCTACTCTGCTAACTCACATAAAAACAGACAATTTATTTTCATAAATTATAGCAATGCAAAAAAAAAAAACCACCCACAAAAGATGAAATAACACAAGACTGCACATGCTTGTGAAAAAAGTAAACTGCATGTAAAACCAGCAGCCTCTAGAGCTACAGGTACCTGGAAATGTTTCAGATGCCAGTGTTTTGGAACCACTAAAACTGGAAAAAAAATTGAATTTACATTAAGTCAAGATAGTAGCCCTTGTAGCAGTGAAAAAATACGGAAACATAGCACACCTGCACTTGTTCACAAGTCATTCAAAAACTGTTCTTGATCTGCCATGTAAATTTTATGGGATGAAGTTCTGTCTCTAAGAAATACTAGGGAAAAATCCCATTCAATTCAACAGGATTCACTGATGTATATAATTTATGCTTTGCAGGTTGCAATTAAAAGGTAACAATTACTTCCCCCTCTGAACGGGAGAAATGTTTGGGGTCCTTTTTTTTTTTTTTTAACATTTCTCCCTAGGCAATGTTTAAGGACTAGCTCATTAATTGTGTATATAATGTATAAGAGCTGTACAGCAATCAACTTCCAGTTCCTTTTACAGAACAACCAGTGCCAAGAAATGCTGCACATTCACGTTATTTGAACCAACATTGCCCACCTCACTCTTATTTTTAAATGAATTCCTCAGTTTATGAAAACTAACAGTGAAACCATAGCAGCCGCTCCTGTCCATAACATGAGTTTCCCCTTTCTCCTGACATCAGCCTCAACATTGACCCCAATGTAGCTGCAGTTTACAAGGTCCATTGATTTCACTGCCTGATGGACAATTCTGCTTTGTAAACTTGCAGGTCTCAAGATCACAACCAAGTGGTTTAAGGCTGTACAAACCCCACAGTTCAGCATTTTCTGATTGACACGAGACAGAATTTCAAACCGTGTAAGGTTTTATAAAGATACCAATCTTCTAAGCTAGCATAACATAAAAATAGTTGGACTTGAGTATACCACTTGGTTCCATAAAAATGTCCCGAAGTGACCAGTGTCCATAACACTGTTAACGAGACACGAGCTTGGGAGTGACCTGACATGTGATGAACATTTGGAAATTTTTTAAAAGTCTGTATTTGAAACAAGGAAGACCACAAAATGCCACCTCTTCTGCAACACAGGACATTAGCTAAAGGTGAAGGCATGATAAAGTGTAGATGAAATTGCTCCCAAAACTTCAGCTCTGACCAGCCACCAGGTCACTTGCCCTGCAGTGAGCAGAAGGCAGGTTTCAGGCTGGACCCACGGGAAATCGGGAGAAGGAGGTGCAATATGTTATTCACTAGGTTTGTAATCCCCTGTAGGAAATAACGGGCTCACATTCACATTTTTCTTTTCTTTTCTGAAGCAAAACTTCTATTTTTGCTCATGTTTAATTCTCCTATGTTTTTTTTTTTTAAGCTCTCTCTCCAAATTCAAACCAGGTAGCTTTATCCTGACCTCACCTCCGTTACTAGCCTAGCTATAATAAACAGTATTTCAGTCCCAACTGTGAAATTATACTGAGATGACTCATTTCTAAGCAACAGAAATGGGAAAACCTGAAAAAAGTTTCTCAAACATGAAAACCAGATATACTTCTATCAACATAAAGTCAGGATTGACATAAATCCTGCTCTCAGTAGACCCAAAAAGACAGGCACTGAACTATTACAGTGCTTAGCAAATTAAGACTCAAGCTCTGGATGCTGTTGCTTCAAAACTAATTGTTTGTGCTCCACTAAATCCATTATATCGTCTAACAAGCAAGCATTTTTCTAATGACTGCTTAGAGCAATAATTCTGCACAATCTTAAAAAAACCCAAAAAGACAGACATTGCTCAGGAAACATTATCTGGCTGTTGAAAAACTACAGCACGTGCTGATAAGAAAGCGTGGTAGTACTTACCGTACCGAGAAAGCTGACAAAAACCTCATCAGTACACAAGCACCAAAGGGAGATGGAACTAACCATGAAAGTTCATTTCTACTACCAAAAAGACTATAAACAAACTGCAAAGGAAAATAACTGATGAGTATTTGATACAAAGGATATTTGGTACAGAGGTTATGCTGCTTCTGAATGAGACCAAGAAGAACTCCTAACTGCTAATTCAACTCAGCACATACATTTCTCCTGTTTATGATCCTCTAAGTGGAGGCTTATCCCTCACTCTGTATTTGCAGGTTCTCTTTCATTACAAAACTTGCTTAAAAATGGAATCTAGAAATAATTTTTATACCTTATTTTTTCTACAAAAGAGACTAAAAATCAAAACACCTATTCTGCTGTGGCTTTATTATTCATTATTTTGCCTATGTTATTCCCTTTTCAGAGGGATTTTCTAATTTTATTAAGGAAGTTAATTAAAAAGCAACACTGTTTTTCCTAGGGAAAAAGGAATTTACCAGTAGCAGGCAAACTCATTACATTTTTGCTCAAAAAGCTGCTAGTCTTATAGTGGAAAATCTTTTTGGAATTGGGACTTTGTCCTGTGATGGACCAACAAAATGTTTCAGAGATTTTTCATGATCTTGACATTTTGGCAACAGACAATGAACATTTTTGGCAAGTGGAAATATTTGGTTTTATAACTGAATTGTTGTTTGCTTTTTTCTTTTTTTATTTTTAAATACAAGGAAGGTATCTTTATGCCTTGGTACCTACAAGCATTTCCTTTACCGTATTGAAAAGTCTGTCTGGATTTAAATATGGTTTAGATTACAAACTTGCCCCAAGAAAACTTTGTTTTTTTAAAACAAATGCTGGATAACTTTACAAATGCTGTGAAGTTAATTGAAAAAAATATATGAGCAGATGACACTTTACAAAGAACTGCAGTACACTATTTTTCCTTGTGGACTATAAAACTATTATGGGATGTTATGTTAATATCTTTTGGAAAACTATCAATAACTACAAGTTCTACCTAGGCAGTTTGTTGTTTAGATTTGCATAAAGCCAGTCCTCTGGCTTGCAAAACCTGTTAGGAAGGAAAAGGAAAACCACCCAAAACTCAAATCTACCATACTTACTATCAATAATTTTGTTGACACCATTCAGGAATTCCATAGACTCAAAATAAAATCACAGTCCTTTTTCTCCTTTCAGAATATAGCCTCTTAATCCAAATAATATCAGAGAAGTTAAAATTTAGTCCATTCATCTGGCAAATGTTCCCCTCTGTTTCATAAACATGCATATCACAGAGAAAAAATGTTCAATTTAAGGTTTCTTACATGATTAGAGTGTAAAAAATCATCATAGAAATACGGTTATTCTCAGACTTAATAATGTCCTTACTGTAATATACTGTGTTTCCATAAAACTAAAAGATTTAGCAAACCCAATTGTCTTATAAGCAGCCAGTAAATACAGTTAATTGTCTAGGAGGAGTATAAAATAGAAATTCTTCTACTACGGGCAATTATGTTCCAACAGTCTCACTGCAAGCTGGAGGTAAAATGTCAAGAAAACTAGAAGGATGCAGGGGAAAAATACACGATAGCTTATCGGAAATGCTGGTTCAAAAATTCTATGGCTGCTGGAACTGAAATAGCCCATCTAGAGCTACACAGTACTACAGGTACCGTTTCCTCCATGGATGTTTACAACCTGTAGAATATTTTTTAATATTCTAGTTAAAAGTTATCTCCTATGAGAAGGACCAAAAATACACACCAGGGCATATGATGACTTTTTACACAACAATAATTAATCATCACATTTCATTAATAAACTATCAAGCGCTTGCAAGCTCTCCGCAATCTTTTTCATCTAGTTTGCATACTTTATAATGGTGGAAAAAAACGTTTTAAAAAGTTTGAATAGGCACTTACTGGAATTACAGTTAATCCTGATACAGTCTAGATGGGGAAGAATAGATGAAAAATGAAAATTTATCCTTCAAGGTAATAGCTGCAGACATCCAATAAAATCACAGTCCACCCTTCCGGGGACAGACACATGCAAATATGGCCACTCCATATCATCAGTCTTTACATACTGTTATAACCCAGATATACTGCGATAAATCTTTAGAAATAGAAACGACAAATAGGGTAAAAATGGCCAATTTCAAACAAAGCTACATGGTGACAAATCTAAGTGAAAAAAATCAGGATTAAACGTCAAAGATGCTTAACTGAGGCAGGCTGCAACCTTCTCCCCATCTGTGAAAGAACAGGTGATTACTCTCGGTGCAATCAGAAAGTGCTCCGTCACAATGGGTCAGCGAGCAAGCCAGGCCACAACCAGACATCTTGGACAACTTGTGGATAGTATACCTCAAAGGCTCGTCTGCCAAAACTACGTAGTAAAACGCCAAGCTCATTACCCAGGCCTAGGAATAAGGTTTTGGGGGTTTATATTTTCTTAGTGTAAAAACTGAAGAAATGAAAAGTGACTACATTTAAAGCTACATTAATATACTGAAAAGAATGACATATTTATAAACACTGATAATTTGAGAATCCTGTCTATTTGCAGATTATTTCCTTGCCTGACCAGGAGAAGAGGAGAAGAGGAGAAGAGGAGAAGAGGAGAAGAGGAGAAAAAAATAAGAAAAAAATAAGAAAAAAATAAGAAAATGAAAAAAAAGAAAAAAGCGGTGTTGGAGGAAGAAACAATATAACTAGGGCATGGATTTATTTACTTTCTTGAACTATAGAAGTAGGCAAAAACTGACAGAGGGTAGTGTTTTGTGTACAAAGAGAATGACCTAATCCTCTGCTAGGCTGCCTGCATTTATTCCAGTAAAAACCTCTCTGCCACGCTCCTTGCTTTGCACAGCTACTCCTGCTTTACACCTTTGAGGAACAGATATACCATCGAACCTAGATTTTGTTTCCATATAGCTGAGTTTGTCATGTGTCGTCAACCGCATCAGAAAAGTGGTTGCAAACAGCCAAGGACCAGCACCGGCACATCCCCTTTTACAGAAAGCGCTGCGGGGATCGGGGGGCGGGAGGGACCGGGGTGGGGGGCACAGCCTGCAGCAGCCCCCGCTCAGCACTGGAGGGGACTGGGAGAGAAGGGGAAACACCAAAAACCTCCGCTTCTCCTTCTCCCTTCCGAAATCTTACAGCAGGACAGGATTTCAGTTAGCAAAACTTTTATGAAGTGGAGCATTAGGTGATTTTTATTACTTTTTTTTTCCTCCCCACACTTTCTGGAAATCATTTTGTCTGTGATCAAAACAATAAAATACTTAATTCCTTTTAGAAATAGCATTGCACTGCATGGGAATGACTGCACTGAATGTCTGTTCCCCTGAATGTTCTCTTTCACCTCCTGACTTGGATTTACTTAACAGCACAGCAGAAGGGCTTCATTTATTTCCTTTTTTTAAAAACCAGAGAAAACCATAACCTAACATTTTATCTATCATATTTCAAACCAGAAAAACAACTTGGGGTTTTTTTTTTTTTTTTTTTCTGTAAAAGGGCTTGTGCCTCCTGTGTTCACACGGCTGTTTGCTGAGGGCCGCAGTCTTTGGGCATTGAAGGGTTATCGTTCGATACTACAAAAACACCACTACAGAATCGTTTAAAAAAGAGGAAATGGATTTACTATAGATTTGACACCTAAAAAAAGGAGACCAAGAAATCCATCAGTGGGAATATCTAATTGCAACATTTTCAGTGTTAAAACTAGAAATTCTTTGATACATTTGCATGTTGTACATTAATTGGTGGAGGTAAAACCAGACTGACCTACATACACGTTGTTCCTGCTTGCACATTTAAATTGGGGAATTGCTACTGGGAAGAAGTTGTGGAAGGAGAACAATCTTCCACAACAAAGAGTAATAATTTAGCCCAAAAATACCACTGATGAACTAGTCTTCTCTTTTTAGAATACACAATAGTACAAAAATATTGTGATGGATTATGTTGACTATATAAAGAACACAAAAATGCAAAAGAAAAACAAAATAAAGTGAAATAATGGGCATGTACTTGTGTGTAGATGTACATACGCAAAGGTTGCATTGACGTGTGTTGATATATCATTTTGGTTTACTTTTAATGTTAAAACAGGCTGTTTCAGAAATGTTTGCAAGCAAAAAGAAAAATGTAAAGAAAATGTTAATTTCTTGGAAGAAGGGTTTGTTACCTAGGTTGACCGTTAGTTTAACTCGTCCTGCATCCAACTCTAAACGAAGGGTATCTGCGGATTCCCTAGAAGTAGTTGCCATTAAAATGCCATAAGCTCGCTGGGACCTGAATCGTAAAGAAACATCTTCGGCCTCTGTGTGCATCACAACAGGGAGTTGGATTTTCATAAACATACTTCCATCATAGCTTAAAATTGTTGCCTCTGAAAACAAAGGAGAAAATCCGTTATTTGAGAATTATACTGCATTTACTGAAAATGCTCAAAGACAGAAAATATATATCCACTTGGTGTAACACAGAAAAATCACATCTTGCATATCACAATTATTGCTGGGAAACATAAGCAAAGTTGGGTTTGTTTTTTTTGTTTTGGTTTTGGTTTTTTTCAAAAGGCATATTTTGGTGCTTTTGAAAGAAACTAAATGGCTCTTTTAATGAGCTAGCCGTTCATGTACGCATCTTCAAGCAGATGGGTAAAATCCCGTGTAAAGAAATGCCTGTACTCCTCAAAAGAGGTCAAAGCCAGCAAAAAGTATTCAGGCAAACCTTACTGCCTACTAAAAGGTCACGTCTGACTATCATCAACCTAGAAAATTACCTTAGGATACTTCATGTATAAACCTCTCAGGATTGCTACCACCACAGTTACCAGCCTCGCTCATCAGGTGGTGAGCTGTATCACCATGTATCGCTCATTTGTATATATTATGATTTTCAATATTATTGCAGTTGAATTATTAAATGGGTCTGATCTCAACCCATGACTCTTTTTTCCCTTTTCCCCTTTAATTCTCTCCCCCATCCCCGTGAGGTGTGTGGAAGTGAGAGAGCGGCTGTGTGGGGTTGGCTCCCAGCTAAGGGCAAACCCATCACAACCATCCAGTCAGTAAAAAGCCGCCGGAAACGGGTAAATAACCCCAGCGCAGTTTGGATGGAGCGCAGATTGCTTCATGCCCACAGTGACCATGGAACGATAGAATCAAAGCCACGCGCACAAGCGTTACGACAGCCTCAACGAGAGGATCGAGCCTGGACTTGGCATACTGAGGGTAAGATCTTAAAACGCCGGAGACAAGCAAATAACTGTCACTTGCAGACATCACAAGAAACCCTCCCGGTGAGTGGCTTTGGCAACAGAGGGGTCACAGCCTGTGAGACCCAGACCAGCCAGCCACAAGTCTTGTTTTCCCAGCCTCCAGGCTGGCAACGAACAAGGTAGCAGCAAGATTGCGTTTCTGCTCCCAGGGAGGCACAGCACTTCCTAGAAAGCAAAGGACACATGTTTCTGAAACGTCCTTTTTTGCAGGACACTCAAGCATTGCGGCCAGTTCACCACCACAGCCTTTGGGAACGGCGTTTAGGCTCCTGGACAGCAGCACATCGTGGTGGAGGAAGCAGTGAAGGAGCGACATCCTTGACCCCAAGCCAACAGCCAGTGGGCAGACCGCCAGGAATCTCAGTGGGGTCTGCAGCAACATGCAGGACTAACCACACTACATAACTAAAGCCACCACCCGAATGGCAAAATATACTGAGTGGCCCCTTTTAATGCACATCTGATTGTTCACCTAACACTAATTCCCTAGGGACCTTCTCGCTTCTTCCACGTGTCTCCTGCTTTCTGTAACCCACCCAGAACCCCTCCATCTTAGAAACTGGTGAAGTGTTGGATGATGAGGTTCAAACAAGATGCTACAGAATCTTTCTTAGAAAAAGATGCAACCCTGAGGGCACTTCAGCTCTCTGAAAAAAAAATATCAGTTACTTGCCCAATAACAGGCCAAACAAGCAATGAGCAGAAAGAGAAGACAGCAGAGAACACCTCTAAGAAGCTTCCCTCCACTTCCGTTTACTGCAGTCTGTTACCATGCAGGTAATAATGTTTTCTGCATATTTTAAACCTAAAATTTTACGAGATTAAATACTTAACCCTCACCAACCTGATAAGAGATTTCAAGTCAAAGAGTCTTCAGTGGGAGGTGATTTGTTTTTTTGGTTTTTTTTTTGTTTGTTTGTTTTTTTTTTTGGGGGGGGGAGAGGGGTGTTGCAGCAAGCAGGGGCTTACAATCCATTCCTATACCTAGCGTCTAGTCTGTGCATGAAAAGCTCCCAAGATCTTCGTCAGGGCACACATGATTTAGGCAATTAAAGAAGTTCAGCATCAAAGTTTAAGCAACATGCTAATCTAAGAGAAAATAAAAGGTATTTTCTATCATCTATTAAGAAAGACACATTAATACTATTCATGGTTTTCATAAACTGAGCAAAATCAGATGCTACAGGATGAACAGCATTCAACAACACTAGAAGTCTGTTGCTAAAAAAATTATCTTATGTAAAATAAAGTTGTCAGCATCAGCACTGTTTGCCAGCTTTCCCATATTTATTCAGTCTTTTAGAAAATTACAGGAAAAAGGAGAGAAGGAACTGTCTTAATTTAATCAGAGATGACCTGTGAGTATTTAACATCATGGTGAACAGACCTGATGTGATTAGACACTCAATCCTCCTAACCCATACTGCGCCAGTTATTCTGGAAACAGCTGTTCCAAGAACAGACCAAGGAGACTGAACAGAAGATCAAATGACTTAAAAGCTCTGGGGCAATGAGAAAACCCCCTCATGTCAACGAGCTCCTTTCAGGACGGGGAGCTCCCAAGTTGCAGGCTTTCTAAACACAAAGGGATGACAGAAAACAAAACCCGCACAAAACTGGCAGGTAGCAGGGATGATCTGATCAAAGAAGATTTAGCACTGCCCTGAGAGCCATGACTGAAGATTGGAGATGCTATGTATTCTTAAAATAAAAAAAAAAAAATACAACTACGTTCAGTTTACTCCCTTGGAATGAGAACGCTGGTACAGAAGTGTTGTTAGGAAAACCTTTTGTTGTTAAACCATTATTAAGCGATTGCTGCATGGAGAAGGTTGAGTGATGCTTTGTCCATATTGTGCACCTCTCGTTAGATGGCAAGCTGGGTTTTGCTGTGTGAATTATCTATCAACTTGGCATCTCTTCCACCTGACTCAGCATTGCTCCCGGCTCTGCAAATTTCCGTGTTCTGTTGGTCTTGGCTGGACAGAAGGCATCTAGCAGTACGTGTACGAGACCTCTGACAGCACAAGGAGCTGCTCTTCCCTTCCTGGTGTCCTTGTGGCAATGCCTTCTTACCCTGTCGTTGTACTTGGTGGAGAACTTTCTTTTTCAGACAGTAGGAAAAAACAGGTTTTGAGATGAAAAGGAAGGGCTTGTTTTGCTTTCAGATTGTTCCAGCTGGTTAATGGAAATGTTTCCATCCTGCAGTTACTTCAGTTGTCCAGCACAGACTGTCAATTTGCAAGGTGATCCGAACGAGCAGAGACAGGGCGGGTTACACCCGTTCTGCAAACCACAAAGGAACATTTTAGCTAAATATATGTTTTAATTTTTGCCCCTAACTTTTACTTTTTTTTGCTCTGGACCAACTAATTCCAAAGAGCTGTGTGTCTCATCCTTCTTTGAGATCTACACCGCTAACTGTCCTCACCTAAGTGTTGGCAGTGTCCTTTTTCTCTTGTTCAGCTTCCTCTTATTTATTAGATTAAATGCTAATAGACCACAAGTTTAGCTCCAAATGTGCTATTCATTAAAAGCATCAGCGTCTCCATGGCAGGGAATAATAATTTTACTACCACTTCAGTGTTGGAAGCATAGCATTGAAAAGAAAAATAGCAGAAAGTCCTTATAAAACATTACTGGCAATTTTCTTTGGCAGCATATAAGTGTAGGTAGTAGAGTTATTAATAAGAAAAACACAGAAAGATATAATTCAGAGATTGATACAATTATTTTATGCATTCTTTCTCCAATATTTTTATAAACCTGACAATTAAAAACCCTTGCTCCTTCTGTTCTAAAAACCATCCAAAGGAATAAGAAAACCACTGAATGGTTCAAGTTCCCCCTTCATTTTTGCTTCTTCAGTTTGTTTCTGATTGCAATCTCCAGGGCTGGATACTCTTAATTCCTATGTATATATGATGTCAATCAGCTCTGTGCCTATCACCAAGGCTGCACAGAGTACTGACACGAGAGGAGATTCAGGACCTTAAAAGTTTCACTTGGGCTGGGATTACCTAAATTGCTGAAGAGCCTGCAGCACCTACTCTTCTGGAAACTTTCCTACAGCTTTTCTACCCTCAGGAATGCTCAGCCAGATGTTTATGGGGAGAAACAGAATTTTCCAAATAGATGCTGTTCTTCAATTCACAGCTTACTTAAATTAAAGTGAAGGAAGTATGGACTAAGCACTTGAATTTCAGTGTTCTTCCTCAGGAGTTTTGCAGTCAAATTTGGGTTGTTTTTAACAACGTGATGTTGGGTAAGTTAGGCTGCTTACTGCATGTACTGTAATAAATAAAACAAGACCTTGTTTCCTCTGGAACCCTTGTGGCGCCTCTAAAGTCCTAAAGACAGAATTATCAATTTTTTTCCTGCTTTTTCAGTTTCAAAGTGTCTGCAATAATATGAGGACTGTGCTGCAGCCCAGGGAGCTGTTTTTAAAGCATGAAATCACCCTCTGTGCCTGCTGTCTCTGAAATCACACACAAACTTTGGCCACTGTAAAGGTGTTTGAACACGCAGGACCAATTTGTTAATTTAGGTCAGACATAGAATAATATTTGAACAGATGATTCTTCATATCCTCTATCATCATATCACCTGAATTTTTCTTTTTTTTTTTAATTCTGAAGTATCCAGAGTTAATGCAAGGAATGAAAGCTGTATTCCTTTATTTAACGTACGTGTGTATGTACCACAATCAACGTAAGACAGGACGCCAAACTGTATTACTATGACATCTGTCTGTCCATCTGCTGTAGTTTCCATAATCTACTAAAGCCAATCTACAGATTATACTGATGCTTAACCTTACTGAAAATCAAAAATAATTTGCAACAGGACAAAAAGCACATGAATATAAAAAAATACTGATTTTAAGCATACTGAAATCAAAATAAAACTGAGTTGTGTTCCATGTTTTTCATGCACTGACAAGCTGACCACAATTATTTTAGATACTGTATTATACATGATACATTCCCATATGGATGTCAGTACTCCTATACTAGAGAAAATAACATGAAAAATAAATTATGATACTAAAAAGTAGCTACATGCTGTTGTTTACTGAAGATACCTCAATCACTTCACGTTAAATTAAATATTCCAGTTGTTTAATCTCCAACAGTTTATTCTAATGCTTTCTTTTCTTTGTGCAACTGTATTGTTTGTTGAAATGAACACGTTCCTATTTTATTTAAATTAGTTTGAACAATTAGAATTGTGTTGCTTATATCACCCAACACAAAAGGTTATCAGTGACTGCACTGATAACAACTTTGGGTGGTAGGATGCCAACGCATCGCTTTCAGAATCCCAAAAGCTATAATCTCATTAATGCATGACCATTTGGGATATGACTATTACTGGAAAGAGATCTCCTTTCAGTGCGGTTTTCTCTGGAGAGGGAAACCCAAGAGCAGGAAATGATCCTGTACTGCCTGACCTGCCACACATATTTCTGTTGGACAGGAACCAAATCCCATTGTAGAGAAGCCAACACCACCACCACCACAGCATCACCATTCCCACTAGGGAACACACTGGGAAAATCAAGCTCTCTACTGGAAGATGGTGAAAATAAAGTCCGGGAAATAAATAGACAAATGTTTCTCTATAAAATATTGCCATCTATCAAATATATTTATGAGGAACTGCTATGATGAAATCTGCTTTTAAATTCTTTGCAGATCGGCATGGTTTTGTCCCTAGCGCACGTTTCCTAGCTCTCAAGATGAAAAAAAAAAATGCAAATCCTATTTTTACTTCTGCCATATGTAATAGCAGAATGTTGCCACAGGGTGGTACACCAGACATGTTTAACTGAAGGCTTTCCTAATGCAGCAGACAGCTCGGGTATGCCCTCTGCCAGCTTCCCTCCACCAGCAACCGAACAATCTGGAGATCTCTGAATAACTGTCCAGGAGCCAAAGGCATATATATGCCAAAAGTAAGTCAGAAAAAAAAACCAGAAGAAACTGAGAATCTACTAGCAAATGCTAATAAGATGAGGGTATTAATTCTACAGTAATGCACGTCTATTCGCATAGAACTTAAAACATTCATCAGGTTTTTTATTTTTAAAGAATACATTTTTGTGTCAACTAACTACAAAAATGAAGCGAATAAGATGGAAAGAACTTACATTCCCAGCCAATAAACTTTACATTTAGATTTCAGCTTGAAGAGAAACTGCACTGTGTCAAATGCGAGATGAAAAAACACAACTTCTGGCATTGAAATATTCCCTACTCCAATGAGAATAAAAATAAACACCTAAAATATTAACTAAGCTTTTTATTGTTTTCCTACTTACATTAAAATCTTTCATTAGTGTACTCAGGAATTTTAAATAAATTACAGTTTTCTTCCTATAAACTAACCTCAGCATCTGTCCTCCTTGCCGCTGTCACCTTTTCAGTTAAGAAAGGGGGTTTGTCAACTTCACACCTACCTTTCTAGGCAAGAGGGATACTCAGTGACTTAAGGTAAGTAGAAACTGTTTTCTTGGGTACTAGGGTCTTTAAGTAAGAAATAGTGATTCCCACACTCCTTCCTTTGCTTTGACTCATGGCCAAAGTTCTAGCCATGGATTAAAGTGATACTGAGGAATTTAAGAATAAATTGAATTACACAGTGGTAATGACATAAAGAGGCTGAGAATTCCTCAGCTGGGAATTGGAATGTGACCGTTTAGTAACGCAAAAATAATTGGAATGACTTTCACAAAGCTTTTCAGAACTCAGCAATGTATGATGAGACACAACAGGAGAGATTTTCTAAGAGACATTTAGCAGTGCTGACTCTTTCATAGTCAACTTATACTGCTTCATGCATCTTAGAAAATCCCTGAGATCCTTCCTCTAGGAGAGTTCCTTCTTCCTGTCCACAGCAAGGCTCCACCTCACCAAGTGAAATCAAGGATGCTCTTTCTGCCTCAAAAGAGTTCATGATATTTTACCATTTTCAATCATTATGCAGGACTCTATAAAACAGAACCGCAGCCACCTCACGGAACCTACCTCTTTCGCACGATCTGCCAAGGTACCCTGTCCCAGAGCAATCGCAAACGTATCTGTTCCAGCCGTCCCTGCACACACCGTTGTTTTTACAGGGGGTGCTAAGGCAAGGTTTCGCAGTTTCTCTTGAGCATGAAGGTTTTACTCCAGCTGTACTTTGAATTTCAGCCATCTGTCGAATATCTTTGCTTTGACCATCAATAAATAAATCTCTAATGCAGCCGACGTATCCGTAATTGAGAAGCGCTGTCCACACCTCTGTTGGAAACACCAGGCCTGCTTTATTTTCTGGTAAGCCTCCAAGATACAAGTCATCGTCCAAGTCAAGGATTTCACTTTCCCCTGGTGCAGTATATGGTGTACGTAACGTGTTCACCGATATGGTCCCTGAGAAGAGAAGAACAAATCGCACGGTTTTCAAGACATTGAAAAGATTTTGGTACTACTGTTTTACTCATTGATCTACATGACACATTAGCTCCTGGCAAATATCTATAAATGAAACACAGGTATTCTATTTGTACAGCTATACAATAACAGACACACTTCATTATTTTAATTACAATGTAGTACAAAGACTGTCAGGAAGTGAACGATGTAAAAACACTTATGCACAATCCTGCATGGCTGCAATATAAAAAAAAAATCCAAATCACCTTGCCAATCTTCTACAGATAGTTATTTTCAGAAGTATCCTGCTTGTACAACAACAAAAAACCTCTTCACTACCTGACATGTGCTTCAAAGCGTTCAGGCTGAGGTTGCATTAATGGGTTGCAACCTGGGAGGCAAATCTGCGTCTCTGGTTTGGATCCAAAGACACAGTATTTTAAAAGACTCTTACTGCTTTTGGTGGGCTTTGGATAAGACTTTCTTCTTTAACTGCAGAAGGAAAACACCCTCATCAGCTGCCAGAGAGGCAATCACTAAGAAGATAGCGATGTGCTCCTAGAGGGGAAATCAATGCCTCTGACACTTACCTCGAAATCTGAGGGTGTTACAAAGAGGGAGAGAAGATGTATACAGAGCCTCAGGAAATCGGGAACTATCTTTTCCATTTAAGTTTAAAAAGAAAACAAACAAAATTAAGCCTAAAAGAAAGTTCTGTTTCTACAAAGTGTCTGAACAAAGAAACTGTAATCAACTGTAAAGAGTCTCTTTGTTGGACCCAATTTTTACAATTCAAATAGGCAGAAAACCAAACTTAGTACATGGAGTCACAGAACATACTTATGTAAGCCAAATTTAATTTTCTTTACTAAGTAAAATAACCCCCCCAAAAAAGAATCTTCATGTAGATCTTCACAGGAGTGACTCCTTAACATTCTATATGGGTGCAAACGCAAGCAAAATATAAATCAAAACATTATATAGGTCACCAGATTATTATACTGTACCAGCCACATTATGCAACACTGCTCTCCACTGGCCACGCTATTAGAAGTGTATTAATGGTGACAAGACACTGAAGAATCACATTCACCACAATGAATTTATCAGACATATATACACAAAACTAACATGATTCACTATTTCCACTGTCAACGTGACACAGATTCCAGAAGGTAACACTGATAATCAAAAATCCTCCCACTGAGGTGGGAGTGGTGCAGGAGATTAGGAAATCCAGGATTTCCATAGCTCACACACTAAAAAGTGAGTTTTACAAAGAGAAGCAGGTCAGAAAAAGATCCTTCTGTTACTTGGATACATCCTAAAATTTAGGCTTTTCTTTTAGCAATGGAGTCCTGTGGGAGCTAGGTATTTTGTTCATTCTCTGTTGGTTTGACAGGCTAACTTCAATAACATAGGCAGAATGAACACTAAACAGCTTGGACCCTTAGAAGCAGCTCTTTGGGGTAGAGGTCTCAGGAGGTCCAACTCCCATGGCAGACCTGAGACGTATGGATTTTAGAAGGGCTGAATGCCACTACAAACAGTCTCCCTGCTATCAGGAGAGATCTAAAAAGACAGAACAAAGGTTTGCATAGCATTTGTGCATCTTTATGAGCATGTTTAAAGAACGTCTGAGGACATGGTCCGTTTTCCCTTTCACGTATTATCAGGAATGTTTTCTGTGTCAGCTGAATAATCACATAGATGTAAAGTGAACTTCCAGTCTTCACTGTAAGAAAAGGGCATGTTAACTAAAGACCTTTTTTTCTTCCACTCTTTTAAAACTGATAAGACTATTATATTTTGCTAACTCTCAATATTTGTATTGCTGCTCAGATTCTTGGAAGCAAAACTTTGCACTCATATATTTCACTTACTATAGATCTAACCTTAGGCATACCAGCATGAACATTTTGAGATTTGATTTTATTAATCAGCTGTCTCAATCAAGGACACCTGTGAATGACCTGTTAAATTAAAATGGTCAACTTTTCTGAGAGCACCCTAGGTATCAAGCAAGACTGCTTATGGACAATAGACTCATAGAACAGTTTGAGTTGGAAGGGACCATGGAGGTCATCTAGTCCAACCCCCCTGCAGTGAGCAGGGTCATACAAGCAACAGATAATTTCTCCCTTAAAAAAAAAAAAAAAAAAATCAAAGGTGCTGTAAATATAAAGAATACTTGTGTTCACAGTATTTCTTACTGCTATTGTTGCTTGCTCCCATCTGTTGCTGTACAGGCTGATTTAGGACCGAATCCTTTAAAGCTATGTGCAGGCAGCACCTGCACCCACACAGGTGAACCCAGCTGCAGCCTCTGAGCTCAAGCTCATGCATTTGCCCAGTGTTGTTTTCTGCTGGACAAAGACAAATTAGTGTTTTCAAGCTATCCATTGTGCTAGAAGACCTCTAGGGCTCCACTTCTATGAAAAAAAAACCCAAAAATCAGCTAAGTCCTGATGGCTTTCAATGCACAGGAGAAGACAGGTAAATCTCAGCCAGCGTAGCTGCAACGTTACCATGGTGTTCCACGTGGATGTATTGCAGGCACAGAGGCAGAGAAAGGTGAACAACAAAGGGAACTGTACATCATCCACTACACTTCGGTGACTGTGAATTATAGTCAGGTCATTATAGTCATATAGTCATACATTGAAGCAAGAAAATTTTCTTCTCTATGTCATAAAGGATTACCCTGGAGAGAGCTTAAGTATTATGTTGAATAGATATGAACAGCTTCTTAAAAGAAATAAACCCTTCCCCTTCCCAAAAAAATGACACCCCATAGAATACTCCTTGGGAGAAGCTCTCAGATATCT